AGTAGCAGTAATAGTAGTAGTAGTAGTAGTAGCAGTAGCAGTAGCAGTAGCAGTAGCAGTAGCAGTAGCAGTAGCAGTAGCAGTAGCAGTAGCAGTAGCAGTAGCAGTAGCAGTAGCAGAAGCAGTAGCAGTAGCAGTAGCAGTAGTAGTAGTAGTAGTAATAGTATGTAATAGTAGTAGTAGTAGTAGTAGTAGTAGTAGCAGTAGCAGTAGTAGTAGTAGTAGGCGGCCACAGCGCTTTATTTTGCCATGGGTTATTCCCCATGTTTTCATAGTTTTTGTGTTTAAAACCTGCATTTTGGCGCGATTCACGTCTATGGGTTCGCCGCCTGAAAATGGTGCTTTTGAAAACACGATTTTTTGGGTTGCGGATTTTTTGGCTTGCATGCGTGCGAAACCACTGTTTGGGCAACATTTTATCTTCATCTTCCGTCAAAAAGCAAAAACGGTCTTCCGACCCGTTCCTCGTTGTTTGAGGTTTTGAAGTTTTTGGGTGTGCATGCACGCGAAACTCCAGTTCGGGCAACATTTTATCTTATCTTTTAAAAACCCGTGCCAACGGTTCTCCGAAAAACGCCCCGGACAGTCTTGACAAATTTTTGTCTCATCATTTTTCTCAGCCGCGTGTTTTGGGTTTTGGATTTCTGTCGTGGGCATGCGCGCAAACCTCCAGTTTCGGCAACATTTTATCTTGATTGTGGTGCCAGTTTGTGTTTTAATGAGTGCGATGACCAGAGCATCCATGCCCAAACCATGATTCTGTTCATTTTCTAATGAGTGCGATGACCGGATCATCCATGCCCAAACCATAATTCCGTTCACTTGTTCAATGAGCGCGATGACCGGATCATCCACGTGAGTGCGATGACCAGAGCATCCGTGCCCAAACCATATTTCCGTTCATTTTGAAACTTATGTGATGACCAGAGCAGCCAAGCCCAAACCATAATTCCGTTCATTTATTAATCAGTGCGATGACCAGAGTATCCATGCCCAAACCAGAATTCTGTTCATTTGCTAATGAGTGCTGTAGGGGTTAATAGGAGGATGCTAGTCAGGGATCCCCTTCTCCAACCTTAAGCAATATTGAAACCTGCACTACTACGGCCAAGAAAAACATCCCAAACGAAGTAGTGCCGGCGGATATTTTCAGACCGTTAAAATTACGAGTGCGACGCCTGCCAGTGTCTTTGAAGCCTCTCATACGCGATAACCCACAGCGAAACAAAGTGCGTGACCTACTGGTGGTGGTAGTAGTAGTAGTAGTAGAAGACGACGCAATAGCAGCGGCAGCAGAAGTAATGGCAGCAATAGCAGTGGCAATGACACCAGCAGCAGTACTAGTTTTTACTGTTGCTGCTGTCTTAGACGTGCTAGTAGCAACATGTGGCAACATGTAACAACATGACGGTGATGATGATGATGATGGTGGTGATGATGATGATGGTGGTGATGATGGTGATGAATACGATGATGATTATGATGGCACGGAGGGTGCAACAAGGGCGACGTCGATGGCCACGATCATGACAACAAGTGTAGTGCTGGTGCTGGTACTGTTACTGCTACCACTTCTTCTCTTACCAGTACACCAGCACGCTGTACTTTCTGCTCCACACACTGCCGCCTCTAAGCTGCCGCTGGAGATCGCCCAAAGCAAAGGCGAAATCGACTGGGTGCCGACCTCAAGAACTTGTCCCTGATAATCATGAGCATTGCTTGAATCTGGCCTTTGCGAGCATGTATAGATACGGGTGCGAACGGCTCTGCTTGAGCGTGTTCAGCAGCTTTCCCCCGGAGTCCAAAAAAATATCTCGTGCACCCGAGACGCGGTAACTTTGAGCATACACAGTGCGCGCTTTGATCGCGGAACTGGCGTCAATGCCTGACCAGGAAGCATAGCTGCAGACCGAGCTGGTGAGCCAAAAACGTAGGAATCTGCATATGCACAAGGTTGCAGCTGGACGCCTTCTTGAGCATCTTGGCAGAATTGAGGTTGATGGCCTTCATCACGAGAGTCGAGCCCTCATTGATCGTGCGGACAAGGATCCGTGAGATAAGCCTTGGACAGCGGGTCAAGGCGTGCGCACATGCTCCCCAAGCTAAAGTAACTGAAAGCGGGAGCAAGTGGATGTTTGCTGCTGGGAAGGCCACACACACCATGTAGTCTCTTCTAACATGGAAAAGCGTGCGTCACAGCGCCAAGGCTATTTGGTGCTGGAATCTCTAACAAAATGCAGCTTAAGCATCCGCAGGCCTTCTAATATCGTGTATGGTTGCAACCTCTGACATGGCAAGGGGCCCCAAAGACCACGAGAAGCCGTCGCAAAGCTTCTGATCACCAGTCAGATCGCGCAAAACTTCGACGCAGCACTGCACCTTCAGCTATCCCATCGCGTAACAAAAACTCTTGGGCACTGTAGTGTTTAAGGTCCTACTGCTCATGCAGCTTCATGTTCTATGGAGACTCACGCAGGATATGTTCCACTATGCGAGCGCAACTAGACGAGCGCGAGCTTTGCGAAATCGCCATGTTGCGCTTGCAGCACTGTCCGTAAACACTTATTCAGACCTATTCAGACTTCGTGCACATTTGTGCTAGGTTCCCCAAAATGTGGCCTGAATGAACATATCCATTGGGCCAAGTGACAAATGGATTGAAGAATTCTGTTGGGATGCCATATCCGACCTCAACCCACAACGAGGGGACTTGAATGGGAACATGTCTTATGGACCCTTTCTATCAGTCTAAGTAGTTCCTGCCCTTGTTCCTAAAGCTCCCCGGTGCCGCGAACTTGTTCTGTTCTGCAAAGAATTCTGCGTAGCTTCTGAGGCAGCACACATGGCGCAGTCCAAGAGCTGAAATTTCATCCACCATGCCTTGGTCGATGGCAGCTTCTAAATGGTGGGGAATTGTATGTGTACACCTGTCTGTGAGTACGCCTCCTAGGGTAGGCGGAAGTTTGTCGAACCCGCAAAAAGTTAGCCGAAGGCAGCCGAACCCCAGAGGGTTCACCGAACCCCAAACAGGGTTCTGCCAACGGGTTCTACTAACCCCCCGAGGGGTTCTACAAACCCCACAAAGGTTCCGCCAACCCCACCAAAGTTCCGCGAACACCCGGCAACGTTCTGCGAACGCAGGTGGTAGGGTTCTGAGGTGAACCCCCAGTGATGTGTACACATATAGCCTGGTCGTGCCAAACCAAGCAGGCGAGGTCTTTTCAGGTGACCCTTTGGGCACACAGCTGCTTGGTGTCAGTGGAACCCTGCGTTTTGAATACTTACGATCACTCAAAACCCGCCTATGTAGTTCTTGTCATTTCAAGCCGCATTCTGCTGACTCCCCATGTTGTGCCAAGCATCGAACAGGAGATTGATACATGGACAGCGTCATCTCGACCACGCGGTCGATAATGAACTGCAGGCGTGTGGAAGACTGCTTGAAGTAGTTCTGGCCCTCAGGAGCCTCAGGGATTGCCCTTGCGTCTCATTGCAAATGATGTTGCAAGTGCCGCACGTAAACCATGTATCTCATGAGGACCCTTCCGTGCGAAACGGCCTGTCCTCTCTTTTTGTTAAGGCCCGTTTGGGACTACCTACATACTCGGATCTACATGACGAACACTATACACGTGATAGGAGAGACTCGCCAATGCAAATCAACAGTCCAGCTGTAAGAGTCGCGGCGCCACCGCGAAGAACTTGGTGTAGATCTTTCGGCTGAGCACGTGCTTTGTCTCGTCTTCCAAAGACCCCACATAGCGGGATACTCTCCGCTCCTGAGTGCGGGCCATTACTCCCAAAAGAAGAAAAATTGCAACATCAAGGCTAAACAACTATATAAACTATAAAACAAGAAAGCTGCTTCGCACTCCGATCCTTGACAATACTCATCCCTGCCCGGTACAACTTGTGAAGGCAAAAGGCAGTCAGTGCTAGCCATGGCGCCCTCTCAACTGCTTTGCCGAGCTCTTTACCCAGGATCTTTTCTACGTTGCTCCACAGCCAGTCCCAAGCCTCTTCATGCTTTGTGTCCCAATCCTCAAGTGCAGGCACAACGTCCCAGGGTCCGGGGTATCTTCGATTAGATACGACCAGAAGGGATGACAGATTCCACAACCCTTTGGCCCTTGACCCAAAATGCAAAGCAACCCCTGCCACCACGTGCCCTCAAATGTTGCAAGCATGGCAAGAGTGCATTCAGCAAACCCAAGTGCTGAATTTAGTCCTAAATGTCCTAACAATGCTAAGGGTTGAGAATGATGTAAGAGCACTCTCAAATTTGTGAGTCCCTGCTTTGAGCGACCTCAGTATAGACTGTACGTGACCCTGCCATGTTGAGGTCTGGCGGCCTTCCCATTACGAAGACACGACAAGTGGTGTGAAATTAGTGTCTTGGGTCTTGGGCTCCATCAATCAGATCCACATGGGGGATTGTCAAAATTATGGTCCCTTTTTGGGTCCCCTAAACTAGGCCAGGCCCCGTATTATAATAGGGACCCGAAAAGGGACCATAGTTTTGACAATCCCCCACATCACGAAGCTACACTGGCATGCTTCAGACTTGAGATCCTGCAAAAATGATGAGGCAAGCCTGCCCACAAAGGGATCCGTGACTTCATGAACCCCATGAACTTTTAGAATTTCCTAGGGCCTGGGGCACCCCAAATGGTCTTGTGGGAAGTCCTGCGGCACCAGCGAGCGCAAAGAAGCCAACATTACAGCTTTGAACTCTGCCAGGAGGATGGGGCCTGACAAGGTAAAAACTGCAATTGTTGCATCTGTCCTTGATCCAGAGCGGGATACAAAGGCATGTGCACTTCCTCTTCTGCTGCCTTCGTGTTAGAAACACGCTCTTCCCGAGGAAATCCCAAGTTCCTTTCGCGAACACCACCGCGAGCTTTCGCGGAAGCAAGCTTGAGGAAGAAACCAAGCTTTAAACTCTCAAAAGACCTTGACCCATACCCTCAACTCCATAACCAAACCTGTAAGAGCACAAAGCATGCTTGGAAGGTGAAATGGGGCTAGAACTTACCCAAGCCCTTAATTCCAAAACCAAATTGCAGAAGCTTTGTCGTCTCCCATCGCTTGCAATGTTGGGTGCTTGCTCGGCTTACGTGACGTTTCGCGGATCTTTCGCGGATTTTGGGGTAAGAACTCTGCGACTGAGCCTGTGCCTCTGAAAGACTTGCAACCCTTTCACCTTTGAGCATGCCTGGAAGCATGCCTGCACACTGCAAGAAGGGAAATGCATTTAATTTGAAAGCCAGTAATGAACTATGGGTTGCGATGCTTCTTTCGCGAAATCCCAAGTTCCTTTCGCAACCACCATCGCGACCTTTCGCGGAAGGCCTTCTAAGCCAGCCGTGGTCGCTTTGTATGAAGACTTCGGACGATGCGCACATGTACTTCCCAGCGTTTTTACGCTGACGGTACAAACTGTTTCCACCACCCAGAGAAACATTGTCAGTCAATGCTACTCGCATCCTGACAAAGTAAAGAAAACCCTTCATCAGAAGCGCCAGTCAGAAGCCACCCATCAATGTCGTCCCACATTTCCGGATTTTGCTTCCCGGCCACTAGGATCACTAGGCCAGAATCCTTGCGAGCAAAAGATCGAAGTCAAATGGCAACTGGATCAGCAGGAACCTTGACCACAGCCCGCTTAAAATCACGTTATTCGTGCACGTGCCGAAGCTACCTCCATGTCCATGTCAGCTGCTGATTGATGGCATGGCATGCGCTTAAGCAAAGCACTGTTACTGTTGAAAGGCTTAGACGACAGATGTGCACGAATGTGCTCGCA